GAGAAAGGGGAAAGAACAAAAATTACATCAAAAATGAGTTGGAAGAAGGAAATTCACTTATGCCATTTATTTTCATGGTCAATAAGATACATTTGTTCAATGAAATAAAGGGAATAAATTTTATAGAACAGCAAAGAGAACACTGTATTTGTATCACAGCCTGGGTCGAAGTACACTGGTCACTTTAATGTTCATTTGGTACACTAATTGAATTGATGCCAATGCAACTCTTTTACGAAAACACATGGATTTGCTCAGTTTCGTTGCTGCAGAAAGTGATGAATTGCTGTGAATAAAGGCATTTCAAATAGTATTAATCATCACCTTAAAATGAATTAATGAATTTAATTTATTGGCAATACTGACAAATGGTCACTATTACCAAACCAATTATAAAAATGATCTCTACCGATTCATAAATTTATACAAAAATGTCTATGCCAATGTTCCTATGCTCTGTATTTATGTAAAAAAATGAAATAAATAATATTCATTCACATAATACAAGAAATAATGACTCTTTTAATAGAAACAGCAAAAACATCACTACATATAAAGATTTAAATATGTTTAACGCTCCGTCAAATAAAATAAAAAATTGTCAGGACAATTTTAGAAAATGTGTACTTAAATGTTAAAATCAAGTAACAAAGTTGAATTAAAAACAAAATGTATTTCTGTGTTATAATAGATATGGCTAATAAAGAATATATTATATTATTATTAGACACCTGACAATTTCCATACATGCAGGGCTGGTACGATAATAACATCATTTGTACAGAACAATTAAAATACATATCTCAAGTGTCTTCACACGTTAAGCCCCCGTAGTGTAGAATTTGACCCACACTCCAGAAGTTCCACTGGACCGCGAGGTACATATACTGCCCACGCGAACTCCATGCATTCATCAGGCCTCAATTTAAATTGAGATACCCATGTTTAGATGTTAAATGCATATGAAGTGTACAAAGCCGGTTCCGGAGAACTGGCTGATATTAGCGAGTTATGAAAATCTTTACGTATAGGTGGTACACTTTTTCAGTATCAAAAATTGGGAACAAATGCTCACAAACAAATTTATTAATTTTTACATTTAAATTATAAAAATAGTTTATATGAACATATTATTGTAACTAATAAATAAAACTATTTTTTGTACGGATTTATTGGATAAAGTATCTTGTAGACAGAACACATATACTTGGTTCTTGAGCATTTGTACCGAGTGGTTTTCTACAGTCATGGTCTTTCATGCGCTTATAGCATTGTGCACACCTTTTTCTGGACGTGTCAGCATCAGCCCGTTCTTGTTCTGTGGTCCCAAACCACTCCAACTCACGAGGTATTTCCATGTATCTCAAATGAAAATTTCAATAAAATGGTAAAAAACAAAGTATTGCAAACAAAATGGCGCTAAATATATATTTTCGATTTAACAATAGTTGCCAAAAAGAAATGCTGGTCCAGAACCCTAAAATCGTTTCTACACCGGGGCTCAACATGTTAACATTTCATGAAATCTCCTGTCTTGTAATCAAGGCATTAGTATAGATTACAAGGCATGGACTAGACAAGTGACATAAATTATATTGGGATACGTGGATCGTAAAAGCCTGGCAACTTTACACATACACTGTGTCCCAGGATAGATGTAACAAGCGGTGTAATGGACAACAAATTGTCGAATTTTGGAATGGCACTTAGATACTCCGTCCTGCTTGATATGAAATTAAAATGTACAGAAATGAGTTGATCGGTGTTATACAGGATATTTTATAAATCGATTTATAAAAATCGTTACTAATAAACTACCCTAATTTTTCAAGATATGAAAAAATTCTATTAAGAAAGTTGTTTAGAAAGCAATTTGTGTCTGCTTACTAAATTTATTTTGTTGTAATTGCCCGTTTTATCAATGAATTAGTATTCTATTCTGAATTTTTAAAAATCATTTTGCAAATTGAGAGTGCCCTAAAATCGCAAATCTTTTCTAAAATAAATCAGTATTATGCATAACTTTTGTTCTTAACGCCTTATTTTCAACAAAAAAATTTATATTTCTAAAATTTGTTAAGTAGGCACAAATTGCATTCGCAACAACTTTTTTTAATGTGATTTTATCATACATTGAAAAATAAAGGTAATTTATTAGTGACGATTTTTATAATTCTACTCATTTTTGATATATCAAAGTTTTACACCAAGCACGAGGATAAAAATAAATAGTAACAACTATTGGCAATATCATGGACGAGAAAAATTAGTACATGTAGATTTGTGTTGACAAAGCCATGCATTTTAAGGAACATGTAATCATTAATGTTATTATGCATATTTTAAGTGTTAATTAGAGTACATATACTCTGTTAATGTAGTAAACGGATTTTGCAAACTAATGCATGAACAGTTGAGGAAATAGTGGTAAATGTTTTGTGTAATGTTGGTGTTAAAAGTGAAAATGTTGTACTGCTTGTATCAGATGCAGTGGCATACACTGTTCCCCACTATATATATGTAACAAGTGTAATGGACAAAAATTTTTATAATTTTGGAATGACATTTTGGGTATCATTCCTACCCAAAATGTCATTCCAAAATTATAAAAATTTTTGTCCATTACACTTGTTACATATATATAGTGGGGAACAGTGTATGCCACTGCATCTGATACAAGCAGTACAACATTTTCACTTTTAACACCAACATTACACAAAACATTTACCACTATTTCCTCAACTGTTCATGCATTAGTTTGCAAAATCCGTTTACTACATTAACAGAGTATATGTACTCTAATTAACACTTAAAATATGCATAATAACATTAATGATTACATGTTCCTTAAAATGCATGGCTTTGTCAACACAAATCTACATGTACTAATTTTTCTCGTCCATGATATTGCCAATAGTTGTTACTATTTATTTTTATCCTCGTGCCAGCTACATATCTGCACATTATGACGTTTGTTGAAAACTGCATCTAAATTAGGGATTACAGTCTCGCTGGCCGCTGTGCACACATGCTTCTATCCTTTACTACAGGAAATATATTCCAATAGGGAAGGCGGTGCCCAAGAATAGTAAACTAAGAAGGATAGTTTATTCCCATAAGAACGTATGTTGGCTCTCCGATCGGCTTGCGATCTAGTTGGTGACGTCACCGTCTGGCGTACCGGCATTGTTTATGCTTGCTTATACGTGTGTTTACTACTGTTTAGCCGTGTTTTAGAACTTTTAAAGACAAAATTGACTCTACTTTGTGATTCTGCATGTGTTTACTGTGTTTTAAAACTAATTTTAAGTGTTTTTTTGTTTTAAATAGACTATAAAATAAATAAGACTTTAAAATAAGTAACTAAAATAAATCAACTGTAAGTTTGTGTTTAGGTATTTTCTGCTGTTTATTGTAAGTTATTTTATTTTGCTTTAAACTTCATAGATATGTGTATAAAAGTAATTAATTATTTCAGAGACTAGATTAAAATTATGCCTGGCTATAGATGTGCGATGTATGGATGCAATAATAGGAGTGTGGTTACAAAAGCCGGCGATACAAAAATTGTTTATCATTCTTTCCCGAAAGAAAAAGATTTTGTTTCTACGACTATGCTTAAAGAATGGATTAATTGCTGTAAACATGCAGATAAATTTAATCCCAGTTCAAGTGTGATTTGTTCTGTTCGTTTTACACAAAAATTATGATCCTTTCCAACGATGAAAACCGCAGAACACGTAAAAAAAATAAAAAAGATTGTTAATTAAAGAACATTTTATTATTTTATTTGTTGTTAATTAGTTTAATAAATTATTTTTAAAAAATATTTGCTTTTTTTAGTTACCTTTCTTATTAGCTGTGGTGGGGGACCAATTTATTTCTCATCTGACTAAACAGATATTTTTCCATACTCACTATAAAGTTATAGTTTTGCCAAAGAAATATCATTATTGCCTTTAAATTCAAAGCTTACCAAGGGTGGTAAATATTTTAGTTATGATTTTATAAGTAGCTAAATTTAAAAAAATCGGTATTACAAAGTACAAATCAACTTGCTACGAATAATGGTCGTATCCCTAATTTTATCAGGTCTTTATCGACTAATATTTTCATCAAATTTGTAAGATGAGTAGTTCTGACTTTTATGAACTTTTAGTGTCTTCCTGAAACTTTAACAATTACAAAATTCCCCGACTTTCAGATTTACCAGATCCCACGCTAGTATATTTAAACTGATTATTCCTTACACCTAAATACGTGTTTTAAACAATAATATTTATATTCGGGCTCATATTTTTATAATATTCATAACACTTATTACCTTTGATTTTTATATTATGTTAATATCCTTCTGCTGCAGTGTGTAAACCAAAAATTGCAGTTATTAGCCTATATATTATATTACTCTGAAATCAAATTCTGGCCAGTCGTCTACGTCATCATAGCCACGCCCCCTCGCCGATAAAATAGCGCTTATAAACTATCCTTCTTAGTTTACTATTCTTGGGCGGTGCCTGGATACATCGAGCAGATAATCAAGAAATGAATTTGAGAAACATGACTCTCCACCTGGAACACCACTATCAAACTATGCTGTTGAAGTCCGTCAAATAGGGAAAGTCATGCTTATCCATGGGAATTACAATGAATGTAATGCTCATATTTTATTATTTTGAATTATTATCCTCTCCAGGACTATCACATAATCCTTACAAGGGATTTATTTAAATTCTACTTTGTATTATTATCATTATCCTGCTGCAGGATAAAATTCTGTGACTGTCCTGGGTATGGCTGTCTTAAGGTCAACCGACTAACGTACATATTCTACTATGTGCATAAACTGTACATAGCGCAGTATGGGCTACCCAAAACAAAATGTTGTCCCACTTCGAACACAAATAGGGGTTATTAAACTCCCTGACATATGTAGCCTCAAGAATATGAAGATAATAGTGGGAGAACTGAGGTCCACAGCTTTATCCTGGAGGCTCTCTTATATCGTTTAGTGGTCAGAATGCCTGGTTTCCTAACTAGGAGACTCGGGTTCAATTCCTGATATCGAAGTTTCATTTATATTTCAGTCAAATACGAACAAATTTCAACATTTGACGGAAATAACTGATAAAACTTTTAAATCTTAGTAAAGATGTTCATCTAGGCATACTATTAAATATTCTAAAATTCCTGAACTCGATATGTTACGCTCAAGCCACCATCTTGGAAAAATAGTGCTCCGATTCAGTTTTTTGCATGTATCTCGCTAGCCTTTAGCGACATTGAAATTATGTTTCACATAAAAAATAAAGCTTATAAAATTCACTACAAAAAAAGTTATATACATTTTTTCTGTATCTATTGTTATTACTAAAATAGTATAAGCAACTAAAAAAATACATACAGTTGGGATAGCAATTTTTTTTCAGATGTCATCAATTCGTATGAACTAAAATGAAAAAAACGAGTTCAAATCTGTAACGCAGTTCATTCGCTAAATAAAAACAATTACTGATTCAACTATTTGTATTTGTATTTGTAAACAAAATCCAAGCTTTGACAGGAACTGTTTTAATACAAGTACTTTTAGGCACTGTTAAGATATCGCAAAACTGAAATAAAAACACAAAAGAACAAACTTTGATGTGTCCTTTTTTTTATTTACTTTTACAGCTGACAACATATGTCTAAATTAATATCAACATGATAATACATTAAATACATCATTTGCCCTTTCTAACCTTAGAAAATGTTATGATAATCATTTTAAGAGCACTGTTGTTGATCATGTCATACATTGAGGATGTGTGTGAAAAGAATCGCTGGCCCAACTGTACACATGAACATGGATAAAAATACGAGACATGCGTAGCTTCCTACCTGAGCTCAATTCTGGGTATTGGATCAGGTATTTATCTTGCACTGTATTAGGCAAGGCACAACAAAGTAACTTGAGTTGGAGAACGCTTTTCTCTATCTGCATATGGTATATCTGCAGTTGAAAAAATAAGTCAAATTCAGCTTTATTACCCCCCACTGCTGTAGCAGTACAACAGCACTCTTTACGTGTATACCATATCTGATTCAAAATAGCATGGATATGACATAAATCGCGACCTTTGGGGTTAGAAAAAAAGTGAACAACTTCATCACCCCTGTACCGACACTCCACACTCCTGCTTGAGACTCTTTGCTAACACTGACTTCCTATAATTACAAAAAGGATTGCACGCACTTCATCTTGTAGATACAAAAAGCAGGAATATGTGTATTCCTACGAAACCTCTTGCACAAACTCAAATGTGATCATTGAAATTGAGGACAGTTCATTGGACTGAGATCTCCATGAGAACGACTCACTATCTGAATTGGCTGATGAGAATACGTTATCGGATGCTACGCCAAACGGGAGTCACGTATTTTAAATGGTAAGAGTAACCAAACTTGCATAATTTGAGTAAACAATACTTTTTTTATGTCCTTTATAATGTGTGACTTTTTTAAGATTTTCAGAAATTTCCTGAGCAACAAATGCAGTTTTAAGAGAAAGAGCCATAGAAACATCTATCGTCCAACCCCTCCGTCATGCCTAATACAGTGCGAGACAAATACTTGAGCCAATACCCAAAGTTGAGCTCAGGTGGAAGCTGGGCATATCTCTATTTTTACCCATGTTCATTTATACATATTTTTTGAGTTGCTTGTACTATTTTAATAATAAATTTTATAAGCTTTATTTCTTTATCTGAAACATAATTCCGATATTGTTAACGGTTCGCGAGATATAAGCAAAAAAAATGGAATTGGAGCATAATTTTCCAAAATGGCGGCTCGAGCACAACACATTGAGCTTTAGACTTTTAGCATGTTTAATAATATGCCTGAATGAACATCTTGTCATGTTTAAAAACTTTATCAGTTATCTCCCTCTAATTTTCCCGATTTGACTGAATTATTAGTGTTATTTGTGTGATAACTCTACAAAAATTTAAATTTAACTTTCAGTACGTCGATTGATAATATCAGTTAGAATATTTGTGAACAAATATTAGCTTAAATAAATATTTTCTTCTAATTACAAAATATTTAATACAACCTTATTACTTTCATTAAAATTTCCTTTTAGTTCATTATCAGCTGTTTTCTGTAATTGTCCGTTAAATTTCAGTAGACTGGATTACCGGTAAAATTTTAGCGGGATTATTTTAACCGTCAATGGTATTCTGTGCTCTAATATAACAGAAATCAGTTAAATTTTTAATTAACTGTTTAAATTTAGCCGGACCTAGTGACATACTTTTTGTTTACGCCATATTTGGTATTTTGTTGTTTTAATTATTTTAGTAAGTTTGTACATTTTTATTAGACATTATTTTAAATTTGAAACGGGTGTATGTTAATAAATAGGTCGAATCTCTGCTATAATCATTAGAGTTCGTTATATGCATATAGATAGCCCTGGTAGTGTTAACTTGTAAATAATTTGTTGGTGTGTTTTTGTGGGGAATGAGAAAAATCTCTAGAATGTTTCTTCTTGGCAGATAGATAGATTTTCATATAGTGTGAATCTCTATAGAAAATTTAGGAACAGTATAAATTCTGAATATTATTTTTTACTAGTTTTGTTCTTTAGTGAAGTGATTAGTATTATTGTATGTATTTAATCAGACCTCCTTTTCCCCTTTGTACCAAATTCCCATAACCATCTGATTATAGAACATAAAACATTTTTTACTGGATCCAAATGGATTTTAGTAAGTTGTTTAATTTGTTTATTCATATTTTATTATCAGTAGATTACAGCCTTACAATTAGTATTAGGAACCAGCATTAGTAGCATACACTTTTAAAATTTTAACAGACGTCAGACTTGTAAAAACCGACAAGGTTAAAATGGAAAATTTGGTATATTTTATATATGAACAAAACAGAAGGTAACAAATGCAACTAGAATACTATGTATAATTCTTATTTATTATATGTTGTAACTAATAACATACAATTTGCTTTCTAATAATGGATACAGCAGGAAAAAAGCTGTGGTTAGTAGTGGTTACAAAAGAACTTTTTCAGAAATGCTTCAAATGTACATATCTTAAAAAAAACGAATATTATATGACATAAATATGTTAAAATTAGTTCTCCAAAAAACATTTCTCCAAATCTAAAAGTATAAAAGTAATAGTGTCTGGATCCAAATCAATTAGGATTCTCCTAGTTGAATTTTACAAATTTCTAGAAGAAGCACGATGTGCGAAAATTGCAGAAGCTTAATTTAGAAAATAAAGAAAACCATTGACTCGTTGATTCATATGTGCTATAAACACCAGAGGAAAGTTCTGGTCCAAGCAGTGAGCACATAATCCAAGATCCAGCAGATAATATGGAGCTATTTATACGTCACAAGCTATCAAAAAATGTTTTTATTTATATTACAAATGTCTTTTGAGGTTCTTGTGCAATTTTTCAATTTTTACTTGTTAATATATTTATTTTTGGAAATAATGTTTTTTTTTTTTGTCTTGAATTTACAGGTGATTTTGAACCTATGATAACTCGGTCATTTAATATCTTGGTTAAATGACAGAATTTTTTTTGCGAAATTTGGACAATTTGAATTGTAAACATCTGCAACATGTCCATAATAACCTTGTAGTGTGGCCAATTACATTACAGGAGTTTCATCTATTATAATTACTCCTTGGGGGAATAGTAGATGCTAAATTAAAAAAATTTAAGTATTTTTGTTGCAATTAACAATAACAAATTGACGTATTTTCAGTCAAAAATCGAAACAGCTTAACTAATACTATAACGTCGGCCTAATTTGCAAATCACATAGGTCCGAAAACGTTATTTTACAGGAGACACCAAAAACAATTATAAAAATATTTAAACTTCCATCTTTTAATTTAGCACAATTTCAACTGTTTATAATGTTTGTAAATGTTTTAATAACATACAGCTATTGTGAAACCCTTCCTTCAGCGTCATTTCACAGGTGATTAAACGGAGTTTTGTGAATTGAGTGTTGGTGTCAAAATTCCTGGACTTATGTGAAATGTTTTCTTCATTTTAATACATCCTGGAATGTTTTTGGAGTTACGTGAAATTACTACAAAAAAGCTTTATATTTCTACTACCAGATGATGCAAAAATATCAATTTGACCAACGGTGGACTTGTGTGAATTGGGAATTTGGCCGACGATATACGCTTAAAATGTTGTATTTATAAAAAAATAATGATTTTGTCTAAAATAATCTCCTTTGTCCAGTATTACTATTGTGTTCTTTCTAAAATATTGTTTTGCTTTCTAAACACAGAACCGAACAATGACGGAACTGACAAAATTTCTAGCAATTCTAACCTTGTCACCTAACATGTGATTAACTTTATTCATATCTTCTTCCTTCTGATAGGGCCACTGTATATAAGAACCTATCACAGACATGCATAAAATGCTATCTTTATAAAACTGAATTCGCGGGCCCGTTAAAATTCAACAGATAACAATTCCAATAAAATTTTACACAACAGAATACAGAACTCTAAAAAACATTTTTAACGGTCCACTAAAATTAATATTTTAACAGTCTGTTAAAATTTAGCGGATAATTACAGAATACAGCTGCATATGTACTAAAACCATATAACTAGTTTTATTTTCTCAGCCTTACACAGAACTTTGCAAAGAACCTAAAACCTACAAAACACAATGTACAGGGTATTTAAACTTGCATTAGCATAAAGATCATTGCCTATAACTTTCAGAACACGTATGAGATGAGGATCTGCATGTTTACAAGTGTAATCTGTACTTTTTTAAATAAATAAAAAAACAAATAAATAAACAAATCACTATTTTTTGTAATTTTATTTGTTGTTCACTCGTCTATTGGAACTCCATTAATTTATGAAACTTCTAAGTAATTCAAGACAATAAATTATCGTTTTACCTTCAAAAAGTATAACAGCTTATCTTTATTTTACTAAAAAAACCAGACACTAGTTAGTTCTTAGCAATTGTGGCCAACAAACTTCATACACATATATAGTCAATTTAATAAT